AGGGGGCGGGGGGGAGGACCAGGCTGGGATCCGTCACTCGGCCTCCCGCCCAGGGGGACAGAAGGGAGCAGGCAAATCCGGAGCCAGATCCTCGTGCAGGGGGAGGGAGCGCGGGGGTGAAGGGCGACGCGTGACACCCCCTTCGGGGTTCATGTCTCACTTTTTCACGGTAAGGAATCGCGGTCGATCTGTCTCCCACCCCTTACTCCCCATCTGTGTAGACGAAGCGGGGTCTGTCTTCTCGGGGTGAAGGGTTTGGCCGGGACTTGGTCCCAGGCTGGCAGACGAGGCGGGGCGCGCCCGACGCAAAGGCAGCAGGAAACTTTCGGGGTCGCCTCCGGCGCGACGCGGAGGTCGCCCCCACCCAGCTGCTCCTGCAAGGACTCGGGCTTCTTGCGATTTCCCTTCACCCTTCCCAAGAATGTAACGACGCCCCAAGGCACACACAGGTCGCCCCCTACCACCCACCGGGGACCAGCGCGCGCCACGCGTTAAACTCCGGGGAAAAAGAGTTGCCTGGGAAACAGCCTCGGAAAAGCCCCAGCTCGTAAACCACGGATAAACGAATACGAAGGGGCAGTAAATCGGGGCGTGCGGGGGTGTCCCCCCCCCAGCCGCAGCGGCGCTCCCCCCACCGCCTTCTGTCCCGCCTCCCGGCCGCTGCGGACAACCGTGCCGACCAGCCGCCAGCCGGACCCGCGGCCACCAAGAGGCCATTGAACCGAACCCCGGCCCCCCAGGGGCACGCAGCCGCAGAGCCCCGCACCTCTGGCTCCGCAGCCCAGATGCGGGTTCTGGTTGGGGATGATGGCGCTTAGGGGACGGGGGCAGGGAGAACTAAGGGAGGTGGAAAGCGGAGAGACGCTGTGCTGCTAAGACTAGGGTCCCCTCCGGAGGCACAGGAGGGGGACCCGGGCCGAGAGAGGGGCCCGCGAGCGCTCGCGGCCTGCACCCCCCAGCGCCCGCACCTGCTGCTGCGGGCCGCCCACGTGGGCGCGTGCGGTGGGCTCGGTGCTCGCGCAGCCCGGGCCCTTCTGTTCCCCGGAGGGTGGAGGTCGCCTTCCAATCATTTGAGGTCGGGGATAATGAGGGGACCCCAAGTCCAGAGGGGGGTCCCCTGGCCCCAAGGCTCCTTCCACCAAGCTTTCCTTGACTCCAGGCAGCTGCCAGTCCTCGACTGTGCGTTAGTCACCAAGTGGGGAGGAGTGTGTGTGCGCGCGTGTGCGCGCGTGTGTGTGCGCGTGCATGCGCGCGCATCCATTTCCTGAAAGGTGGGTGGGCAGCAGGGAACCGAGAACTGGAGCGAGAGAAGGACAGGCGGAGGGAGGCTGCGCGCCCCAAGAGCGCCAACTCCGCCGGAACTCGGCGCCTGCGAGAGGAGCCGCAAGCCCAGGGAAGGAGCTGGGCTGAGCGGCGGGCCGAGCGCCTGGGGCACGGTCTCAGGCCCGCTGCGCGTCTGCCCACGCCTGTACTTGTCAGAGGGTCGGGACAACAGGCAGAAAGTCCCGCGGAGCCATGTGACCCGCGCGTGATTCTGGTGCCAGCGCGCGCGTAGAGGGGAGGGGTGGGGTTTGCGTGTGGATGGGAGAGCAGGTGAAGAAATGACCCCACTGCAAAGAAGCCCAAGCCACCAAGTGGTGGGACCGCTGAGTAGATAGATGAAGAGATGACAAAGGATGCGGGTCACCACGGGGACAGGGAGGGTCCTCGAAAAATGGCCCCCGACGCAAGGGGATAGTGGACTGTCGAAACCTTTAAGACTGGATGGCAAATATTTTTTCACAATCAGGAATACATCTTAACGAAAACGATCAAATCCTTCAATCGAACAGTGACACTAAACATTACCTTTAAGGACAATTACTGTATTTCCCTAATGCGCTGGGAAGATAGGATGGGAATTTGGTCTTTGCGAACTCCATCCACTCAAGTACATCTAACCTCTTCCCTCCTCTTGTTTCCCAGGACACAGATTTGGCCTGACCAAAGAAGTAGCCACCGAACTTTCGCTAGACTGGTGGTCCTCGTGTCAGGAGTGCGGGTCCAGGAAACTCAGGACAGAAATCTCAGGGACAGAAAAGGGGAAGGGATCCAAAAGTTTGGTCCATGCCCTCAGCCCTCCCACAGCCTAGCATATGTTTGTGTTCCAAAGCAAGTTCGTGTCAATAGCATGTCTTTGCCCTCTGAACTCCAGTGATCCCGTGGGCAGTGCCCTGGGCTGCTGCCCAGGGAGTGAATGCATGTCCCGGACCCCACCCATGCCAGAGGCCCCCTCTGGTACAGTGTCCACTCACCAAAGGACTGAGACAGGCAGATGCCGAGGCTCTTATGCGCTTCCCGAATCCGCCCAGGCTATGGCTGCAACTTTTCCCGGAAAAGTCCATTCCCTCCCTGCACAGAGGTGCACAGACACCTCTAACCACATCCTGCTTGCTTGGCAAACTGCCTCGGCCCTTTTGCGT